TAGCGTCGACGTGTGCTCCGCGCCCTATACCTTCTCCTTCCCGCGCAGCGCCCGTATGTACAGGTTCTCGACCTCTTGAGACTTTTCCCAATCTGATAGAAAGTAGGCTATCCGATAACACTCTAGAGCTTGTTCCGCTTCATCCAATCGATAAATTGCTACTCGCGCCCCGATCACCTTCGTATATACAGCTAACCGTAGTCCGAGGTCTTTTCCGACTTCTTAGCCGACCGATTCCGCTATCCTTACCACAAGTATTAACGCCGCTGTTATGAACTGTTGTGCTGTACATCTGTCCAAGCTGTATAGACGCTACGTATGTACTACCGGATGTATAGTAGGCGATCGGTCCGCTGTGCTCCGGTACACTATAGAGTATTGTACGAGAGTTCCGATCGAGTACTGTAGGGAGAGCTTCGTCGCCCGCCCGAAGACTGTATCTTCGCTCCGGCTGTGCTGTACCTCGTCGCTCTGCCCGGCTAGTACTAGCTCCGCCTATACGTCGCTATAATGGAGGAATGCCTACAGGTCAAGCAGCTGCGCTGCTAGTGGATCTATACTTTTCACCTGTTCGTACGAGATCGTCCACGTCGTAAGCACGCTCCGTTCGCCGTACTCCTGTAGTGGACACTGATCTTGATTCTGTATTAACGCCGTCCACGTCGCGTCGTAATGCTCGAGATAGTCTGCGACACTCATCCCGGTCGTGCCTAGATAGGCCCCTACTTAGGCGAGGGCAAGCGGGAGACCGCCGAGCTTAGGTAGCAATTGATTAATGTCTGTGTATATGTATGTTAGTAATCGTACTCGCTCCGCGGCGCTGCCACACGCACGTACTCGTGACCGCTTTATCCGCACGTGTCTCGACTATCTCTTTCGCTAGCTGATCGTCGGCGACATCTAAATAAAGGCTGGCCTTTAGTAGCTGCAGCCGCTAAAGACGTGTCGTGATCAAGATGTTCCCGTAGTCGGCGTGCGGTAAGAATTCACGATAGTCGTATACCTGGTCGTCCTTTGTTCTGCCTTGCTAGTCGCGGTCGATGTTGTCGATCACTATTAGCTAGTTCGTGTTGCCCGGCAGCGACAGCTATTGCCGTACGTCGTCGCCGGCCTGTACGACGTCCATCGGCGCCGGCACTTCTCGGGTGCGCTTTAACAGCCGCAGGCCTACGCCGGCTATCGATCGTTACAGAGCATCTTTGGACGACCCGTCCAGCTAAAACACCGCGCTAAACCGCTCTGCGTTCGTCTTTGCGAACTTGGCGCACAACTGCGTCTTGCCTATCCCGCCCGTTCCGTATACTACAAATGTCCGCTACTGCGCCGACTGTGTCGATGTCGCTGCGAAAAACTCGCTAATACGCTGTATCTCGAGCTTGCGAGGCACGAAATACTCCGTCGCCGGGATGCCTTGTAGGCTGAAAGGGACGGAGAACTCGCTAGATACTGCTTCCCCTTTGCGCTTTGTAATTTTGTGTAGCAGTTGCTCTCTTGTCTTGTCCGCGCCGTCGCCGTAACGGATGTTCATGCTGACTCCCATGATACTAAGCAGACAATACGACAGATCCTCTGCCCGCATCGTCTCCCTGCTATCTGTCTATTTCATCTTCTCTCCGGCGGTCAGGTTGTCGCCTGCTCGGTAATCGTGTAAAATCGCTAGTGGAATAGCAGTCGCACGCGAAATCGCGTCTTCCAGCGATGGGCCAGTCTGTATCGACATTCCGCTTCGCCCGCGGCCGTTATTGCCCTTGTGGCCGATCACATTCTAGTCGTTCGAGAGAAAGATCACAACGCCCGGCGCCAGCAGCTCTTGCAGCGTCCACCCGCGCCGAAACCATACGCTCTGCTCGAAGGTCGCCATATCCCTCACGGTGGGAACATCCTCCAAGTATGCTAGACACACCTCCGCGTTGCGATACCACTGGAACATCGAGTTGATCGCTTCCGACAGCTCGCGATCGGCGTGCTGCTT